AATGATTCTCTTTGGAATTATTTTTCTTTCCCCCCGTTTGGATCAGTTCTAGCATGCTTTTTTTTTTTTTTTTAATTATTATTAATTTTTTTATTTAATTTTTTTCCAGGAAAAAAAAACCAAACCAAAAAACCAAACCGAAAACCAAAAAACCAAACCAGACCACTCCCCCAGGCATGCAGAAGGATCAGCTGCTCGTGGCATCTTACCCTCATCCCCTCAAATCGGGACAACGCTCTTAAAGGCCTCAAAGCTCTTAGTGTCCTAAGGGACTTTATGGCACCTAGTTCCGAGTAGCCCAGGGCATTAGCTATAAGGCTGACTAATGAGACCTACACAGAAAACACAAAAGAAAAGAAAAGAAGAAAGGAAAACAAAAAAAAAAAAGAAAGAAAGAAAAAACAAAAGGTTCCAGACTGTTAGAATGAGTCCCCTAGCACTGCTTGCCCAGCCCAAATGCCAGCCCGGGTGGCCCCACAGTAAATACCGAAGCCACGACACCAGCTGCCTACTTCACTTGACTGAAACGACCTGGAAGGAAATAATGTGGTTGAGAAAGGTGTAAGAATAGAACAGAGGGGAAAAGAGAAGTGAGAGAGAGGCAGAGACACACACGGAGAAGGGGTCTGTTGGAAGGAAGAGCCCAAACGAGGACATGAACCTTACCCTCGCCCTGAACTGGCTGCAGGATCCCAGCGGCTCCCATTAAACTGAAGCCAGACAAATGTTAAAGGTACCTATGAGAAAGAATACAGATAAATACACACACTGCACCAACTGCCCTCAACTCCTACAGGAAGCCACCGTGGTGGGGCTTCAGCCAGGGCCTCCAGGGACAGGCCAGGTGGCCCAACTCCTCCTGCCAAAACAATCCTGACCAACGTCAACGCTGACCCCGGCGCCACCGGTTCCTTCCCTGCCCCAAACCCTGGGGCTGAGGGGGGGTTGGTTGCTCTGCCTGTAACAACAGAGCAACTGTCAGGCACTTGTTTTGCCTGCTTGAAGCTCTGGTTGACACTTGTGAGCACCTCAGAGGGAGGATGAGGATGGTGAGTCCACCTGAGTGCCAGGCAGCGTCCGCAGGGCGTGGACACGGATGCGGGGACAAGGCTGGGGACACACTTCTTGTCACAAATCTTAGCACCACTTTTCAACACCACAACCAGCAGGGCAACCTGTTTGCTTCAGTAGCCTGGAACCTGCTTCAGACTCCCCACTTGTGAGCTACTGAACGTCCTTAAGCAACTGTTTGGGGCCACCAACTCGTGACCCGGCAGGTGCCTCCGAGGCAGCAGCCTGACCAAAATCTCTTTAGATCAGACAGGACTTGGCCTTATGGAAAGAGGATCTACAGACACCACTGATCAGCATCCCACCAGCTCCCATTTTTTGCTGCTGTCACATTACAGACACAGATGTGAACCTTCAAGGAAGAAAAGAAAGACACCAATACCCAGCAACACCAGAAAAAAAGAGACCTCCTCCTCCACCAGGTGGGGTTGAGCTTCATTCTCAGGACACTTCCTACTTAGAATTCTCTTTTAAAAAGAGGGGTATTAAGATAATAATGTGAAATTCATTCCAAGGATGATTCCTGATCCACACGTTTCAGCACCAGGTTTCAAAGGCAAGAACATGTGGGAAAACTTGGGAGATTTCCTTTCACGTTCCTGTTGGTGCTTCTGTCTTCAGACCTGTCCCACAATCAGAGGCTCAAATATGTGGCAACGTGGCTCTTTGTTTTGTTTTGTTTTGTTTTTTTATCCTGTCGTTTTCTGATTTTAAAATGACATTGATTTTAAAATGAAACTGGTTACAAACAGGCCAGGGGTGTTGCAGAGGTTTCCAGCAAAGCCTTTGTGAGCAGCTTGCTCAGGACTGGACCAAAGCCACACAGACACTGAGATGTTAATGGTCCCAGATTCCAAAACCTAGATGGGATTTGGAGGGATGGGCTGTAGGCTCCATCTAGAGAGAACTACAGCATTTTACCCTGTGAATATAACACAGGGAACAGGCCTCACTGAATCCTCTTAGAGATTCTTCCCCTTCAGATAACACCTCATTTCCAAGTAGGAAACTAAGGGCAAGGAAAGGTCTAAAGGCCCCTGGAGCTCCCATGGTCAGTTTGTTCTCCTGGGACACCCTGACAGAAGACACAGCAGGCACCAGTGTCAGACAAAAGGAATTCCAGATTGACTGAAAAGCCTTCAATAATACCCAGAAAAAGACTCTGTTGTCACAAATACACCCCCCAGGCTTTGGGAACCAGAGGAGGGTGATTTGCCAATGCTACCAAACCTGGGAAATCAGATTCAAGAGGGTGGTTCTGATGCAAAGGCTCATCAGTCTCTGCCAGTTTGCAACTGCCATCCTGCCTCCAGCCACACCACACCGAAAATTTGGGAGGGGGGAAGGAAAAGAAGAAGTGAGCAGACACAGGACACGATGCTGAGATGTTGCTGAGTCAGATTCTGGCAACTCGAGTCCACAGTTTGGTGGTTTTTTTTGTGCAGACAAAAACCTGCAGCTCTCCTGTCCACAGAGCCCAGAGAAATTTCTCCTGAGACCTCATGGCCCTGGTACAGACACACTTATTGACTCCTTGGCCACGTGTCACCTGGCTGGGAAGTTCCCCCTCTTTAACTCCTCCAGATATTGGGGGTAGCAAATAAAACTTGGAACATCTGTCGATGAAACTGCACTTTGTTCCCAGCAGCTGGAACTCCATTCCCAACATGAAGCATAAGGGCTGTGAATGCTGCTTTTGTGCTCAGCTGCTGGTGGGTTTCTTTAACAAAGAACCCCCCAAAAAAGGTGGTTTGCTGGAGGATTCTCCCCAAAACAGCCCACAAGAATAGATGGCAGCTCATCCTACCTTCCATGTTAGCACTTACACTTCATCTTAAGGCAGTGAAAGAGCCACAGTGTTATTTTCAGAAGAGTTATTTCTTCAAGATGTGTGTTAAAAGGTGGTAAGGGGACCAGAGAGGACTTTTTCAAAAATATAATTTACAAATTCAGTTTTCCACAGGAAGCACAGACATACTGAGTCACTTCTGCCCCTGAATTCCAAGCATGGCTCCTCCACCTACTCAGAAATATTTCCAGAGTGATAATGTCACTGAACAGCAACTTCACAAACTGAATCATATGCAAAATGTTCCAAATAAGAAGCTTGGGGAAAAAAAAAAAGAACTTGATTTTTTAAAAATACTTACTCTGGGGACATTCCCTGGGGACTCTGCTTCACAACTGGACGGGATGGAACATTTTAAAAGGATCCAAACACTTAGGATTCTAAAGTCCCTTTTTTGGTAGCTCTTCAGACTTCAAGTCCTATCAAATGCATCATTTTCCACCACTTTTGACAGCCTCAGTTCCCCTTATTTTAAAAGGTCTTGCTGTGCTCCAGAGCCAGATGTTTTGCTAAAGCTTCTCTCTACTGCCTCTTTCCTTTTCATTCTCAAATTTATTCTCCCTCCCAAGATGTTCTGCAGGGGAATTCCAGGGCAACCATGTGCTGAACTGTCCAGACTGATGGTTTCCCTTGTTCCTGCTACAACCTCTTGGCACCAAACTGCCTTTGCTGTTTCCAATGCTCCTGCTTCTCTCCTGGGCCATTAGATCTTTTTACCAGGAAAAGGATGATGTTGAACTTCATTTTGCACACTCAGCTTTGCAAGTGCTTCAGGTTCTCACAAATGTCTGTGCCCAACAGACCTCGTTAGGGGGTAGGATGGGAAGACTCTGCCTGTCTCATCATCATCATCATCATCTCCTGTCACTAATTACACAAGCAAACGACCACAGAAAGGATGTCCCCCAGGAACACCACGTCTGCACAAGTTCTCCCACTGTTAACACCTCCCAGCAGCTCAAGATGCAGACAAGCCTCTTAGGAGCAGTATTTTCAGCAGAGCAGAAGAGCCAAGGGCTGGCAAACCCTCCTTGGCCTCTGCAATTCCAGAGCTGCACAGGAAACACCAGCACCACTCCAGGGGCTCGAGGCTTTTATCCTTGTTTTGGAAACTTAAGAGATCCCTGGGATTGAATCCACGTTACGTGTGTGACTCAGTCAGGACAATTCTCAGGAGAAAACACCACCCCAGCCTTCTTTTAACTAACTGTTTTGGTTTTGTTCCCCCCAGAAATGAGGAGAGGATACATACAGCCACGATGAGGAAGTCCAACCAGCACCAGGCGTTGGTGAAGAACTTGACAAAGCCATAAGCACACCACTTCAGCAGCATCTCCAGGATGAAAATGTAAGTGAAGACCTTGTCTGCATATTCCAGGATGGTCCGGATGGTTTTTTTCTGTTCTATGTAAATGTCCTCAAAAGCCTGGGAAATGACCAGGGACTCGTGTCATTATATGGGATTTCTTCCCTAGTTCCACATCGTTCTCCAGCAGCTCATTCAAAACTGGGATGGGCAGTGGGGGGACTGCTCAGCACTGCACCTCATCTGCTCTAGGAGCTGCAGCACTGCAATGCCAGAGCAAAGGAACAAGCCCCCAAAAAGCAAAGTCCTGAATAAATAACACAAGAACTTCTCTGCCTTTAGGGATCTCAGCACCAGCTTTTCTATCCCCATCACCAGCAGCTGGTACCACTGCAGCAACACACACCAGGAGGTTTCTCTGCAGCTCAGCACATCCAAAAGGGACTGTGTTGGCAATCAGGCTGTTAATTACTGTCACAGACTGGTGAAGGTTGGAAGGGACCTTAAAGATCATCAGGTTCCAACCCCCCTGCTATAAGCAGGGACACCTCCTACCTGCCCAGGCTGCACAAGCCCCATCCAACCTGGCCTTGAACACCAGGGATGGGGCAGCCACAACCTCCCTGGGCAACCTGTTTCAGCACCTTCCTACCCTCATGGGGAAGAGTTTCTTCCTGATGTCCAACATAGATGTCCCCTCTTCCAGTTTAAAACAATCACCCCTTGTCCCACCCCTGCCCTCTCTGGTGAAAAGCCCCTCCCCAGCTTTCCTGGAGCCCCTTCAGGCACTGGAAGGACAAGGAAGCTGTGAAAGAGAAACAGGCTGTTGCTGTGGGAGACACATCCCTGGGGACTTCTGTCCTGAAACTGGTGCTTGCAGTTGTTTGCTGTCCAACCTTCCCTCCTGAACACTCTGCACTGTGTGAAAGCCAACAAGTGTAGTGATCATTTGTGTCTGTGTAACAGCAGGAGCTCAGGGAGCTCTGCAAACACGGGCAAGTGAGGAAAGGGGAGTAGAAATGTTCTTACTCAGTAACAGGAAAATAATAGGGGCTGAATTTGTCCCAAATCCTCATGTTTCTAGCCAAGCTATGATCAGAACTCAACTTGCAGGCTTTCAGACTTCACTCTTGACTTAAACTAAGCAAAAAGCATCAATCAAGGCTTTTGTGCAGCACCTCCCACAAGGGGCCTGTGCTGTTCCCCAGCTAAGAAGCCCCCCAGCTCACTTTCCCCCCATTTCCTCCATCCAGCTTTCCCAGTTCCACACCCCCCAGCTCAGCTGAGCTCCACTGATCTCTCTCTACCTCACTCACCAGGGCCCCACTGCTCAGGAGGATCATGAAGATGATGAAAGTCTCAAACCAATTGTGTTCCACGATCAGAAAACAAGTCTTCCTCAAGGTCCACCAGGACTTCCCCAGCCCCTCCTCAATGTTGACCTGGCAACACTTGCAGCGCTGCACACAACCTGCAGAGGGGACAGTGCACAGGGGGGTGTGAGTCCCAACTTTGTCAGGTGACAGATGATTCAAGGTGAGACCATAAAATTGTCCATGCCTAGAAGCAGAATTTGGCTGCCAACAACACAAAACACTCTCGAGTTTCAGTTCAAGCTCTTGTGTTGGTGAGGATTTTATGATTATTTTGGCCACTTCTGGATCTGGGCACCTGAATGAACATCAGTTTGTGAAGAGATGAAGCTGGTTGGACCTGGTGAGGACCAGGCACTTGACAGAAGAGGGATGGAAAACCTGCTGCTGAAATAACCTTGAACTACTTAAAGTATCTTTGCCATGGGAATACTTGTAATGGGTCGGTTGCTGAAAGACATTGAGGCCAGTGACAGAAGGGAAAAAACCCCAAACAGAAGCCAGATCCTCCTGCCCCTCAGCACTCAAGGCACCAATTGTACAAAAGATCAATCTGGCCAACCTGTAGGTCATCTAGATCCTTGCAATGGCAACTGCATCTCTAAGGCTTTTACTTTGCACATTCTTCTAAACTAGCTCCCCTGTGAAGTGGGGTCCAGAAATGTCTCAAAATCAGCTGCCACCAGCCCTGGTCCAGACTGACCTGACCTCAAAGCAAACTCACAGGTCCCCAGACCAGCTCAGAGGCTTCTTGGCCACTCATGGTCAGCTCACCTTCTGTGAAGCAGGCATCTGGGTCCAGATACTCCTCTGGTGCCTCCACAGGGACTTCTTCCACTTCAGGCTTTATATCAATGGTGCTGCCTTCAGAGGAGCTGGTATCATCAAGTTTCTTGAACAGAAAATAAAACCCCATCCAATTGGTAATTAGTTCCCATCAAGCTTCCTGATGACTCAGCAATTTGCTCATCAGATTTACTGTAACAGAAGCTGGGTCCTCACTTCACCTCACTGAGACCTTGATCCAGTCTACGTCTCATGTCAACAGAAGAGTATTAAGTATTTATATTATTTCCATGTATCAGGATTTGTGGCTCTCCTCAGAGCAACCAGCACAAGAAACTTCTGTCTTGAGTGCAAAGACAAGGATATAAAATAATATAACCATCTAAGAATTATATATAATAAGTATAATTATAATATAATAGTCTCATAGAATGGTTTAAGTTGGAAGAGACCTTTGAAAGTCATCTAGACCCAACCCCCTGCATGGGCAGGGACACCTCCCACCAGCTCAGGCTGCTCCAAGCCCCATCCAACCTGCCCTTCCAGGGATGGAGCAGCAGCCACAGCTTCCCTGGGCAACCTGGGCCAGGGTCTCCCCACCCTCACACTCCAGAATTTCTTCCAAACATCCAACCTAAACCTCCCCTCTTCCAGTTTTAATCCATTACCCCTAATAGAATAATTCTAATAATACAAAGAGAAGTTTGGTGCTGGAACTATCAAGCTCTCATTCCCAAGATGTCATAATGATGTCATGATGACATCACCACCCTTGAGCCCCTGAACCCCCACTGGAGCTTGGGAGGGGGGGATGGGGGGTGGGACCATG